TGAGCTCACTTTGTAGCCCAGGCTGGTCTCCAACTTGCAACGATCCTTCTGCCTCAGCCTCCCAAGTGCTGGGACTACAGGCGTGTGCCACCACACCCGGTGATAGTAATATTTTTTAAGTGTATTGGTACACTTCAGGTATACTTACTGACAACATTCATCCTAGGGAATTTGTACATGATACAACTTGATATGACTTGATTCTTTTCTCCCGCATTCCCCTGTTCTCCCCTAAACCCCTTTTGCCCTCCTTATTAACAATGAAGTTTTGTTTCATTGTTTTTCTTTTCTTATTTTTTTCTTTTCCCCCTCCCCCTTCCCTAGTTACTCTTCCCATTTGAACATTTTCTTTGTATTTACATTATCTATTATATATTTTCAGAGGACAGTAATTCTTTTTCTTCTTTTTTTTTTTGTCTTTTTGAGACAGTGTCTCACTTTGCAGTTCAGACTGGCCTTGAGCTTGCTTTGTAGCCTAGGCTGGCCTTGAACTTGCAGTGATCCTCCTGCCTCAGCCTCCCGAGTGCTGGCATTACAGGCCTGTGCCACCACACCTGGCTTTTTTTTTTTTTTTTAACAGGGTCTTGCTATGCAGTTCAGCTGGCCTTGAGCTCACTTTGTAGTCTTGGCTGGCCTCGAACTCGGGCAGTGATCCTCCTGTCTCAGCTTCCTGAGTGCTGGGATTACAGGTGTGTGCCCATCTGGCCCAAGGACAGTAATTCTTAAGACCATGTCAAGTTATCTTTTCTTTGAGGATGCTAGTTAATGACGTCAATAAAGTCAAATCCAGAAATCATTTTTACTTATTCTGGTATCAGATATGCCAATATCTGGCCTACTTTATTGGTATTGTAGATGGTCTCATAAAATAATCCAGGAGTTTGGGAAAACCTTTGCAAAAGTGTTAGTGAAAAAAAAAATTTTTTTTTTTTGTCTTTTTTTGTCTTTTTTTGAGACAGGGTCTCGCTACGCAGTTCAGGCTGACCTTGAGCTCACTTTGTAGCCCAGGCTGGCCTCGAACTCGCAACGATCCTCCTGCCTCAGCCTGCCGAGTACTGGGATTACAGGCGTGCACCACCACGCCCGGCGAAAAAAAAAATTTAAAAAGTGACTTATATCCCAGCACTCGGGAGGCTGAGACAGGAGGATCCCTGTGAGTTCAAGGCCAGCCTGGACTAGGGCTACAAAGTGAGTTCAAGGCCAACCTGAATGGCATAGTGAAACGCTGTCTCAAAAAAGACCAAAGGGGAAAAAAAAAGTGAAGTATATTGTTTATTTGTGATTTACAATATAGCATTATGGGATGCATATAGATAATAAAGTGGTTATTATAGTGAAGAAGATTGCCATCTCTTATCTGAGTTACAGAGTAGCTACATGTTTTTATTTTGTCTTTTTGAGACAGGGTCTCCCTGTGTAGTTCAGGCTGGCCTTGAGCTCACATTGTAGCGCAGGCTGGTCTGGACTTGGAAGGATCGTCCTGTCTCAGGCTCCCAAGTGCTAGGATTACAGGTGTGTGCCACCATGCCCGATGCTGCATGTATTTTTTTTTCTTGTTTTTTGAGCCAGGGTCTTGCTATGTAGCTCAGGCTGGCCTCTGAACTCTGGCAGTCCTGGCTCAACATCCCTGAGTATGGGGATTACAGGCCTGGGCCATCACATTTATTTATTTTTTAACAAAAATCCTTAATACAATATAATTTTATTAACTTTACTTTCAGTGTTGTACATCAGATGTTTACCCTAAACATATACGTATTTTTGGGGGGCGGGGGAGGTGTTGAGACAGGGTCTTGCTCTGTATTTCAGACTGGCTTTGAACTCACTGTGTAGTCCAAGCTAGCCTTCACAGCAGTCCTCCTGCCTCAGGCTCCCTGAGTGCTGGGATTACAGGTGTGTGCCACCACGCTCGGCTCAAAAATTTTTAAAGTGAGATGAAGTGCTTAATATTAAGATAGAGCACAAGGACACCCATCTTTCATTAATCTGACTTCAGTTTCTTCTGGTCTTTTTTTGGTGTATGTGTGTGGTACTGGGAATTGAACCCTGGGCCTTTCCTTCTCTCCTTTTTGTTTTTAAGACGGAGTCTTGCTATATAGTTCAAGCTGACTTTGAACTTACTGTGTAGCCTAAATTTACCTACTGATCCTCCTGCCTCAGAGTCCCCAGTGCTGGGATTAAAGGCGTGTACCACCATCTCCTGCTGACTGATTGAATTTTAATCTGTCCCTTTGACCTCTATGTTCTTACGCTAATTTGGGAAAAATGACAACCCAAGGTTATCTTTTAGGGTGAAATTAAAGGTATTGACTGACTAGTGTGAGTTTCATCTACAAACAGAAAAAGCAATTGCAAGTTTAATCTTAATGTGAAAGTAAATGGAGTTGGGCAAAGTTTTCCTTTTCTTAGGGATCTGATGAAATATTTTGATTTTTGAGAGTTGGTAGAGCTGGCAGTGATTATCTCAGCACACTAGTTAAATACTTAACATTATTTTCATACCAGAAGAAATTTTCA